CTCAGTTTCTTAATCTACCTATCTAAAATGGCCACTTGCTCCTCATCATAAGTCAAATCCTTGTCCAAGTGCACCGAGCTAAAATCCAACACATGTGATGGATCTTCATAGTACTTTCGAAGCATGGAAATAAGAAACACCGGATGAACTTCCAATAAGCTTGGTGGCAAGGCAAATCTGTAGGCCACCTCACCAACTCCAACTCCACAAATAGACCAATACACCGAGGGCTCAACTTGCCCTTCTTTCCAAATCTCATCACACCCTTCATGGGCAAAACTTTGAGTAAAACCTTCTCATGTACCATGAATGCCACATCATGAGCCTTCTTATCAACATAACTCTTCTGCGTGGATTGTGTTGTACAAAACCACTTCCGAATCAGTTTTACCTTCTCCAAATCATAACAAACAATATATCTGCTTAAAATCCTAGCCCTGCCAAGCTCAAACCAACCAACTAGAGAATAACATTGCCTCTCATATGATGCCTCACATATAGCCATCTGGATACTCGACTGATAGTTGGTGTGGTAGGCAAACTATGCTAAATGTTGAAATTGATCCCACTGGTCTCGGAAATCTATGAAAAGCGAAATATGGTGCTCAACTCAACTTTCATCCCCAACTCATGCTGAACCACTCTTTAGAAAAGCGAAATAGACTAAGTAACTTGATCGGAGATGATAGAAACAAGTACACCATGCAAGCAAACAACCTCCCAGATGTAGATCTTAGTCAATTGTTCTGAAGTGTGGGAAGTCTTGGTTGTGCTGACTTGGTGAGTCAGTTCACAATGACTCGAACTACATCAAATCTCCTCAATGTTCGTGGCAATCCTACTGCAAAGTCTGTAGTGATACGCTCCCACATCCAGTCCGGTATCTCAATATTCTCAAGTAACGCATCAAGTCTCTAACTCTCATACTTGACATGCGGACAATTAAAGCACCAAGCAAACATATTCAACAATGTATTTCTTCATCCTCTGCCACCAATAATGCTACTTTAAATCATGTCACATCGTCATAGTACCCATATGAATAGAGTACAGCGAAATGTGAGTCTTATCAAGAATCAACTCTCTTAATCCATTCTCATTAGGGACACAAATCCTGCCCTGAAATCGCAAGAAACCATCATTACCAATAGTCACCTCCTTAGCACCACCTCATTGCACCGCGTCCTTAAGGACAAGAATGTGGGGATCATTATACCGACGAGACTTGATGCGCTCAAACAGATATGACTAAGATACAATACAAGAAAGCACTCTCCTAGGCTTCGAAATATCTGATCTCACGAACCTGTTGACCAAAGCTTGCACATCCATAGCCAAGGGCCTCTCCCTAGCTGGAATAAAAGCAAGACTCCCCATAATCGCCGCCTTCCAACTCAAGGCATCTACAACCACATTAGCCTTCCCCAGATGATCAAGAATAGTATCATAGTCCTTAATAACTCTAACCACCTCCGCTGCCTTAAGTTCAGGTCCTTTTGCTCACATAGATGTTGAAGACTCTCTTGATCCATATACAACTCACAAGAAACGCCATATAAGTAATGCCTCCAAATCTTGAGAGCGTGTACAACAATAGCCAACTCCAAATTTATGCACTGGATAGTTATTCTCATGGGCTTTATTTGGAACGACACATATGCAATCACCCTACCGTCCTACATCAGTACACACCCAATGCCAACCCGAGATGCATAACAATAACCGTGTATGATCCTGATCCTGAAGGAAAAACCAACACTAGAGTTGTAGTCAAAGCTATCTTGAGCTTCTGAAAGCTCTCATTATACTAATCAAACCACCTGAATAGAGTGCCCTTACGAGTCAACTTAGTCGATGTGCCTGTAATAGATGAAAGTCCCTATACGAAGCGAAAGTAATAACCAGTCAAACCCCACAAGCTCCTGATCTCTAAACGATAGATGGTTTGAGCTAACACTGAACTGCATCAATTTTCTCTGATTCCACCTTGATCCCGTCACTAGATACCATATGACCCAGGAATTTCACCTAGTCTAACCAAAACTCACACTTGGAGAATTTATCTTTTCTTCTCCCTTAAATTCCGAAGCACAACCCTCAAATATTGCTCACGCTCCTCCCGATTATTGGAATACACCGATATATAATTAATGAACACAATGAAAAAAGAATACAAAAGGTTAGAACATATTGTTCACCAAGTACATGAATGTTGGTGGGGGCATTAGTCAACCCAAACGACATCACCAAAAACTCATAATGCTTGTAACGAGTGCGGAAAGCACTCTTACGAATACTCAAAGCTATGATCTTCAATTGATGATACCCCAATCTCAAGTCAATATTCGAGAACACCCTGAAACTGATCAAACAAATCATTAATGCACAATAGTGGATACTTGTTATTGATGTTCACCTTGTTTAATAGCAGATAGTCAATACACATCCTCAAAGACCTATACTTCTATGAGCCGGATAAGTAGATCTAGTATCAAATAATACTGAAGCATCCTTGTGGCATATAGAAACAATATATGTAATCACTGCATCAGAAGCAACAACCTCAGTCGTCCCTGGGAAGGCATAACATCTGACATGACCCCCACTAGACTAAGCTCACCCTTTAGGATGACCATGTCCTAGATGACCTCCACCTGAGCGAGCTGATCAGGTGGTGTAGCAGCCGGTGCAGGAATCATAGTCTGAACTCTCTGCTGCACTAGACCTCGGCGATTACGGGGGAAATACTTCCTGACATTCCCCAATTCTCCACACTTACAGGAACCTCTAACTAGAGATGACGTGGATCCTGATTAGCAAATTGTGAATCAAAATAACCTCTAGAATAGCCCTATACCGACGAGCCCTATACTGATGGAGTAAGGTAACAACTATGAGTTGGGAGTTACTGAATAAAAATTGCACTGAAATCCCTGACTGGGTGGTGGTGAATGATAAATTGGCCTGCTATACTGGCCTTTCCCAAGTCAACCTTGGCCTCCAAATGAGGAACCACATAAACGATCTGATTATCGTGACCTCTTGTCCCTAACTGGCATCATCTCTCTAGTCTCAATGCGGATGTGCTCCACACAATGCGCTATCTCAACCATTTAAAGAAATGAGTCTCGGTATCACTCTCTCTAGCCATAGCAAGGCGAAGTCTAGGGTGAAGGCCCTTAATAGATTTCCTCATTTTCTCATCCTAAGTAGGAATCCAAGCAATAACATGATGGGATAACTCTATAAACCTCATCTCATACTCAGTAACTAACATATGACCCAGCTTACTCAAATGCCTCTTCAGCACCTGTCTCCTAGTGCTAGCACGAACTACTTCAAAAAGCCTTTGAGAACTGAGACCATGTAAAAGGAGGTGATAAATTTGGTCGACCCATCTCAGAAACCCGTCACAACCTCTTGGATGGACCCTATATCTAAAAGCGGCGAGATCAGCTCTATTGGACTCAACTAGTCCCAAATTGCACAGAATCTCATATAACGATCTAGGAATTCCTGAACAACCTCAAAAGGTGTACCACTGAAGTCAGGTGGATGCAACTTGGTGAACTTGTCTAACCTCCTCAGCTCATCAACCGTCATCATATGCCTATCCTCAAGCTCCGAGGCAATAATAGGCTGAACTCCGCCAATTGTAACACAACGTGAGTCTGATAACCATTGGCCACCTGCTCTGGCACATGCGTAGCTGGAGTCTGTGATTTTCCCCCTACATGGGAAGTAGATGGAATATTAGGAAATGCTCCTGCCTGATCCAAACTCTCGAAAAAACTAGCCATGCGGTTCAAGGCATCTTGAATAATTGGCAAAACAAGTAAGCTTTGGAGAACCCGAGTTGGCATCCCTGGCTCAACATAATCATGAGCCTGCTCCTCAGTAAGAGCTGTACTGCTGGCTCCCAACAGCTAGATATGCAGGTGCTGAAGTTGCTGCGCGTGCTCCTCCCCTACCTCGACCTCAACCTCGGCCTCTCATGACTATAGCCTAGGGGTATCGACGCATACTCAGTTGCACTTGATGATTGAGTCCTCACGTTCTAGATAAGAGGGAGTCCGAGTGATTCATATAAGGAGTTGCCGAAGTATTTTTATATGTTGGAGCAAACAAATCCTGGAACGGTTACAAAGTTGCACAAATCAGAAGATGGATGCTTTCTTTATGCATATGTTTCGCTATATGCATCTATCAAGGGCTGGGAGCATTGCAGACCGATAATGATTGTTGACGGAAGCTTCCACAAAGCAGCATATAAGGGTACCATATTGACTTCTTGCACACAAGATGGAGCTGGTGAGTTGACTGCATCTACGTTGTTTCTGCAATTTGTATAATGTTTTAGTTTCATGTATAAAAGTGTATAGGATTTCACAGCTGCTGTTTTTATAAAATTTGCAGTTGGTATAAATCTGTATAAATATGTATAACTGTGTATAAGATTTGTATAAAATTTGCAGTTGGTATCTGCAGACTAATTTGCAGTCTGAATCCTAATATCTATTTTTGTATAAACAGGAAAAATCCTTCCACTTACGTATGCAATTGTGGATTCAGAGAATAACAAATCTTGGGAGTGGTTCTTTGTCCAGATAAAGGGTACTTTTGGAGTTAGGGAAGGGATGTGTATAGTTTCAGATAGAAATGAAAGCATCTTCAATGCCACAAAAGCTGTGTACCTAGAAGTACCACATTGTATTTGCATGTTTCACTTGTGGCAGAATGTAAAGCGCACATTCAAGAAACATCACAAACAATTGAAGGATATCTTCTTTGCTTTGGCAAGAGCTTACACGATAGAGAAGTTTGAGTACCATATGACAGAGTTGTGCAAAATTGATCCGAGGGTGCAGCCTTACTTGTTCGAAATTGGGTACGAAAGGTGGTCTAGAGCATATTCCAAGGTGAAAAGGTCGATGGTAATGACTTCCAATATTGCATAGTCAATTAATGCAGCTAACAAGGATGCTAGAGAGTTACCAGTAATGCGATTGCTGGAGTACATGACAAATTCGCTACAACAGTGGAACAACAAAAACAGAAAAAGTGCAATGGAGACATCTCCAGAGCTTGGCGAAAAGTACGACAAACTCCTTCGGGAAAATCTGATTGCATCGGAGCAAATGACGGTAAAATGAATCAAATATAATGAATCTTGGAACTTCTGACTTGCATTTTACTGCTTGTATAAGGATGTATAACTCTGTATAATAATGTATAATGTTCTTAAATTTTTTTTTAAAAAAACTTTGCAGGTGAGGCCTGCTACGGATCAGTTATATACTGTAGCTTGAAGGGGTAAGAGAAACNCATCCCTATAACAACGCCATCAGTTTCGTTCACCATTGGATCCGGAACTACACATGGCCTGATTCCTGTAAAACCAGGGATATGTAGGCAGCTCAGAAACCAGGGTGCAACCTATGTTTTTCAAAAGACTCCATTCGGTCAAAATTGGTCATCATTTCTTTACTCGATAACTCTTTCATCCTTCCAGGGTAAAGAGGGGAAACTGTTGATACCCAAATTTTCCCTCATGTTTTCTATATATATATATATATATATATATATATATATATATATATATATATATATATATATATATATATATACTTTCAAAATAGTGCATATGCATCATCACTTGATNGCAGCTGAAACCTGGCCAGTATTGCTCTTTTTACTACAAGAAGGATAAACTCCTTAGCACTTATGAATTTCCAGTGAATCCGATGCCAGATGAGAGTTTATGGGTAATCCCAACAGAGGTGATGGAAGATGTGGTCCTACCACCTAAAGGGAGAGGGAATGCAGGAAGGCCAAAAAAGGAAAGACTCAAGCCTGCTTCAGAGAAAGAGTCTAAGAGAGCATTTTCGTGTTCTGTGTGTGGACAAGGTGGTCACAATAGGAAAACATGTAGGAATCGACCAAAATAAATAGTTGGAAACAAAATGCTTCCTATTACATTTGTTGTCATGTTGAGTAGTTAAGTTTCACAAACAATAGAGTTACAAATGTTGATTAGTTAAGTTTCACAAGCAATTGACATGTTTCATTATACATGTTTTGCTTATCCAATAATAGTGTCTTCCTGTTTTTAATGGTACTAAATATATTGATAGATTGTAGAAATACAAAACAGGACTGCAAACAATCACTGGTATTACATGTATACAGATGTATAAATGAGAGTATAAGTTTGTATAACTATGTATATTATTGTATACATATGTATAAAACCTGCTACATTAACAAAACTGCAACCATAATGAAAATACATACTTTGTTAAAGGACAAAAGCAACTGAAAATATTCATTAAAATGTAATTCATTCACAGCAACAATGTGTAATGACTGCCTCAAATTACACAAAAATAAAAAAAAATATCTATAATATCCTTTAAGGTTATCTCACAAGTAGCAAAATAGTTACAAAACTAGGCAACAACTCCTTATACATAGAAAAACTACAGTAAAATGAAAATAACAGAACTACTTTCTTGGTCGCCCCCTCTTCCTCTTCTTCAAAAGTCTCCCTGTGACTTCATCATCACTAATTGCACCAGACTGTTGTTTTTTCCTTACATAATCCCATAACAGAGATCCCCACCTGGTGCGAAGTGTCTCAATGTCAAAATTATCCTTTCGAATTTCTTTACCAAGGATGAAATACTCAGCAAAGCCAGCAACAAAAGCACCACAATCACTGTAATTAAAAAGAAACGAATCAGATTCAAATAGGTACACTAATAGTAAAATAGTAAAACAATTGAGATTAACCTACCATTTGATCTGTTGGGGAACATTATTAACCAGATTAATCTGCAAAGCATCAGAATGGGATTTATCGGTATATGCACCATTGTTCCAATCAATGCCCTTCTTCTCGACATAAAAATCAGAACTCTTCAAGAGGTAAGGTATCAGAATTGCATAAGGTAATGCAGCATCCAAAACAAGTCTATCATTAAGGTAATGCAGCATCCAAAACAAGTTAAAGCAAACACAAAACTCACACTGTAACAAAACTCAAAAGTTAACCCAAAATGCCATAAACACAAAGCAGAGGCCAAAACAAAGCTTTAACAAAAGTGAAGACAACTGAAGGAAAACAAACAAATAAAACTGTAACAAAACTCAAAATCTAAAAAAAAATAAAAGCCATAAACTCAAAGCAGAGGCCAATTTTCCCGAATTTTAACAAAACTCAAAAAACCAAAAATTCTACCCTAAAAGTCGAAATAACAAACCATGCATTTCGTTTCATCAAGTTTAAGTCTCGAACGCAGAAACAAGGAACACAAAATCATCCAAAAAAACACAGCAACATTGAAAAAAATTGGCGTAATCAGAAAAAGCAAAAAAAAATTCAAAAAAAAAATTCAAAACCAACACTGTAGGAAAAACATAAAATAAAATGAAAATTACCTCAAACTAAGATTGAAACCTCGAAAAGCAACTTGCACACAACAATGGAGTCGGTTATGGTCTGAGAAAATCGAGAGGAAGAGAGAGTGAGAAAAGCGTGAGGAAGAGAGCAACAGAGAAATTAAAATTTAAAATATTAAAACGGTTATGTTAAGGTGTGGGCTACTGGGTGAAAATAAAATTTCATAAGTTAGCCAACATGGGCTATACCAGGTAAAGGCCTCAAAATATGGGCTATTTTTGAGTGGGTTGTATGGCCCAAGTGACATATGGTGTAATTAAAACTTTAATTTGAGGCATTAATGTATTTATCGAAAAATTTGATTAAAGAAGGCGTTGTCCTATGCTGAGTTTGTTTTCCATCCTTGTGGTTGTTTAAGAGGTTTTATATACGTTGTGTACAACCTTGGGCTATTTGCTGTGAAATTAGTTGATTTTATTGTACATTTGGAATTGGTTGTGGCCTATGAGGAATTTGTGACATGAATTGTTGTATTGTGTTGTTGTGATAATGTTCCGTGTAAATTGTTGTGTAATTTGGGTAACTGTTATGCGGCATATAAGGGGCATTTCAATGTCGATATTGTGTGGGTATAAGGGTAGCATTTCATTGTGGTTGTGTGTGTTAGAATATTATCTGGGCAGAGTGATAATGGTGGCTATTATACGGAGTGATAAGGGAGGTTATTAAACGGAGAGATAAGGGAGGCTATTAATGGGGTGATAAGTGTGGCTACAATAGCGATACATGTGGCTATTGATATTGGTAGGGCGAAGGTATAAGGGTGGTTATTGATATTGTCAGAGCGGAGGGATAAAGGTGGCTATTATATAGAATGATACAGGTGGCTATAGTAGAGTTAATGGTGGCTACTGTCAGGGATGATCTGTGTTGATGTGGGATTATTGTGTTGGTAATTTTTATGTAATGTTGTGATTCCCTTGTGATTTTTTTATATCTTGTGCAACTTGTTTGTTAATTCAATAAATTTGATAATAGTCTAATACTTGTTGAAATTGGGAGCTTGTGGCTACTGGCGGGTGGATTATGTCATTTGCACGTGATTTGTCTGTGAAACCTAAGTAACCTAGTGCTCTGGTACCAACTCATCACGATCCCAAATCTCACCAAAGTCGTGACGATGCCTAATCCTACTTTCTAGGCAAGCAAAAATTTAAACAACACAATAAACTCAAATTATAAAATTGAATAGTCTCAACAGCAGAATAATCAACAACAACTCTCAGCTGTGTAAGAGTGCCTGTCACAAGTCCCTCACCCAAACACATATATAACCATATGCCTGCGCCCATAGTTAATACCTGACCTCGGAGGGGAGGGTCCTTGCCCAAACAATGATCGGATCTAAGTCAACAATCAATATCACCTAGCTCAATTTGGGCCTTAGTGCATGTGTTACCTCATAATCAATACCGCTTAGCCCAAAGGGGGGCCTATCAAATGTGTCACCTCAATATTAGAATCAAACCAGCTATATGGCCCAAGATCAGTCATCACTTGCTCAAGTCTCAAATATTCACATCTCATAGTACTCAGCTCAAACCATCTCACATATCCAGGTCATCAACAACATGTGCTATAACTTATAAAAAATGCATAGAAACAGATATATAATACGCGAATGTAACGTCATGACTGAAAGTATGACTACAATTAAAGCAAAAATCTCAATATAGCAAGAATAGCCCAATGATGTCTCAAATAGATAAGCACATAGCCTAGGCAAGATTACTAACATGAATAAAAACCCGAGTAGTCATAGAAGTACAGAAAACACATAGATAACATGGCATGATAGAAAAACAAGGAACATAATATCCTAAGGTCTACCTAGATCATGAATAACCATGGCGCACACACATATACCCATTACCTAGAATGTGTGTCACTCCTAGTACATATCAAATATCATAGCGAATGGAAATATTACCCTCAAATAAAGTTTACACGTGTTACATAACCGAAAGCGCGTGAGTTAACACTCTATAGAAGCCCTCCCATGCGAATCGATCTCCGAGCGGCTCGAATCTAGTCAAAACCAACTGAATCATACTAAACGTCTATGGAAATTGATTTTCTTCCCAACTTGGAATACAAAACCAACTCACATGATTATTTTTTCCCAACATGGTAAACTACATGATAATATACTCTTTTGTGATTAAATTGACATAAATAATTAATATAGTATATTTTTGAATACTTTACTGTAACGACCTGGTCAGTCGTTTCGAGAGTTATAGCCTCGTTTCCCTATTTGGGCTTCTTTTTGTACCCTTCAGCTATATTGTGACATGTTGGGTCAGTTGGTTCGGGTCTTGAGTAGATTCGGAGAGGATTTGAGACACTTAGTTTCTTTTATGAACGCTTAAGTTTCGAAAGTTGACCGGAAGTTGACTTATGTGTAAACGGTCTCAGATGTGAATTCTGATGGGTCTGTTAGATTCGTTAGGTGATTTTGGACTTAGAAGAGCGTTCAGATTCGGAATGTAATTTGGAGGTCCGTGGTAGAATTAGGCTCGAATTGGCGAAAGTTGGAAATTTGACGATGTTGGTTGCCAGTGGAAAGTTTGATATCGGGGTCGGAGAATTCCGGAAGTTGGAATAGGTCTTGGTGTCATACTTTACTTGTGTGCAATATTTGAGGTCATGCGGACGTGATTTAATAAGTTTGAGAGTCATTTGCAGAAAATTTGAAAGTTAGAAGTTCTTAGGCTTGAAACCGAGGGTGATTTGGTGTTTTGATGCTGTTTTGGATGATCCGAAGGTTCAATTAAGTTTGAATGATATTATGGGATGTTTTAGTATGTTCAGGTAAGGTCCCGAGGCCCTTGGGTGAGTTTTAGGTGGTTATTGGATCATTAGTTGGTTTTGGAGTTGGCAGATCTTTTGTCTCTGGTCTTGGAAGTGCGGACCACACAAAATTGGTGCGGACCACAGAGGTGTTATGCGGCTGCAACAAAATTGAGCAGACCGCGGTGGGGGTTGTGCTCTCGCAATGAGTTTTATGCGGACCGCAGAAGGAAAATGTTTCACGACCCGCGGCCGCGGCCAAATTTCGCGGACCGCACAGTGAAGGTTCAAAGAGCACTATATAAGCGAGGCTTAGGGTTTTATTTCACATCTTGGACTTTAGGAGCTCGGTTTAAGGCGATCTTTTGAGAGTTTTTCAAGAAATTTATCAGGGTAAGTGATTCTCACTCGGTTTTGGCTAATATTCATGAATATATCATTGAATTCATCATTCGATTCGTGATTTGGGATGGAAATTGGGGGAAATTGGCAGAGTTTCATAAAGTGAATTTTTGGGATTTGAAAGCGGATTCGAAGTCGGATTTGAGTAAAACTAGTATAGTTAGTCTCGTAATCAAATGGCTTGTCGGATTTTGAGATGTGGGCCCGGGGCCCAAGTTTTTTGAGTTGACTTTTTAACTTTTGACCTAAAGCTTAGCATTTCGTTTGGGATTGATTCCTCTAGCTCATGTT